CCAGCTGCTGTTTGTCCCATTGCAAGTCCCCCACTGGCTGTTGGTCCTGTTGTAAGTCACCTCCAGTGGCTGTTGATCCCATTGTACATCATCCAGTGACTGTTTGTCCCCTTGTAGTCACCTTCAGCAGTTGTCTGTCCCATTGTAAGTTCTCCAGCAGCTGTTTGTCCTCTTACAAGCCACGCAATGACTGTTTGTCCCACTGTAAGTCACCTCCAGCAGCTGTTTGTCCTATTACAAGCCACACAGTGACTGTTTGTCCTGTTTTAAGTCACCTCCAGCAGCTGTCCTGCAGAGCTGGGTGATGTGCCCTGTGCCAGGGGGACCCGGGTGAGTCTGCAGTCGGCTCCATGAACCCCCCAGCACAACAATGTGGTTTTCCCCTTCTCTCCCAGCCTGTAACTGCGACCCCGTGGGGTCGGTGCGGGATGACTGCGAGCAGATGACGGGGCTGTGCTCCTGCAAGACTGGCATCACTGGCATGAAGTGCAACCAGTGCCCCAACGGCAGCAAACTGGGCATGACTGGCTGCGAGAAAGGTGAGGGGCACCAAGAAACGGGTCCTTGGGAGAGCTGAGATGCACCAGGAGGGGAGGGATTTTGCTTTTCTGTGTGCTCTGATCACCTCTTCTTCCTACCCCACCAGACCCCTCGGCCCCAAAATCCTGCGAGGAGATGAGCTGCGAGTTCGGGGCCTCCTGCGTGGAGGTCAACGGCTTTGCCCACTGCGAGTGCCCGTCCCCGCTGTGCTCAGAGGCCAACATGACCAAGGTTTGGGGGACAGGCAGCCCGGGGGGTTCAGGGGGGTGAGCAGGGACCTGTGGTGGTTCATCTGCGTCAGGCAGCGCGGGGGTCTCAGGTCTCTTCCCCCCACAAGAAGTGGGAGGGCAGGTTTGGTCGCTGCCTTGGTGCATGGGGAAGGGGATGTGCAAGTGGTAGATGTCTCCCAGCAGAGCTGGATGCTCTGTCCCTCGCCTCATAACTCTGAGCTTGCTCTGCTTCTGGCCTCCCACAGCCCACCTCGGGTCCCTCTGTGCAGGCCATCCCCTCTGTGCCTCGGAGGGACTCCTTCAAAATCCTTCCAGCCTTTAGAGCCCGGTTTATTTTGCCTGGAGAAGGACAGGGGGTGCAGCTCACGTGTCCCCTCTGCCTCAGAATTCTCCCAGCATTTAGAGATGAGTTTCTTTTGCTTGGAGGAGGACAGCTCCCAAGTGTCCTCTCTGCTCATGTGTCCCCTATACCCCCCAGGTGTGTGGCTCTGACGGTGTCACCTACGGGGACCAGTGCCAGCTGAGGACCATTGCCTGCAGGCAGGGCCAGGTCATCACGGTGAAGCACATGGGGCAGTGCCATGGTGAGTGCCTGCTGCTCTGGGGGGCTTGGGCAGTGCCAGCCCTTTGACCTGAGGTCTGGCTGCTTTCCTCTGCAGTGCCAGGGCATTTCCTGACATTTCAGGTGCCCTGAGGGGTCCCAACCAGTGTCACGGGTTTGCAACTTGCTTCCCAATGCCACTGGAAGGTGCCTCCCCCCTTACCTGCCCTGTTTGCTGCTCCTTCCAGAGTCCATCACCCACACGAGCCACCCATCACCTCCCACGCCGCTGCCCACGCTGCCCTTGGACCGGCTCGTCCTCCCCCCACCCCTGCCCCTCACTACCCAGGCTCCGCAGCCCACCGAGGTGGCCACCAGCTCCCCGCCGCTGGAAGCCAAGCCCACGGAACGGGGTCGCCCCACGACGAGGCGCGTCACGACGGCCAGGCCGGCCACCACGCCCTGGGCCACCCACGGTGGGCACAAGACCACGGTGCGGCCTCTCTCCACCGCCCCGGTGGTCCTGGCCACCCCCCAGCCTGCCTACGGGGAGTCGGGCAGCGCTGAGGGCAGCGGGGACCAGGAGATGGGCGCCAGCGGGGACCAGGAGTCCAGCGGGGCGGGTTCTGCCGGTGAGTGCTCGCTCCGGGCGCTCCAGGGCCGCCGGTGGGTTCGGCCAAACCCCGTGTGTGCGAGCTGTGGCTCAGCCCCGTTC